CTTCCCCCTAATCACTCTCTCTCCCTCTGTACTCGGAATATGCAAAAATGTTTACACAACATTTTTTGTTTTGTATTATTTCCACGGAAGTGAGATTCTTGTTTTTTATACTTTATTGTCAATAAAAAAAAAGGGAAATGATTTAAACAATTAGTTTGGTCTCAAAACATATCCATTCTAGTTTTGTCACTATATACCAAAAACACATCAATTGGAAAAAACTTCAAAAGGGTGCACTTGCAAGCATATTCAGAAAAAGCCATGCTTTACAAGTTACAAGTCTCCGAAATGATACCCTTTTAGCCTAAACCAAGGCCTTGGCTTTGCTGCGTTTCAAGTCCTACTGATCCAAAAAAAACCTGTCCAGGAAATCAAACCGACTTCTTGGAGAACTGGATTTTGTCTATGTCAAAACTTTTACCAAAATTAGCCGCTTTTGGAAGAGGCTTTAAAGTCATTGTTCGGTCTTGATGAAGTGGTTGGCCAGGAGTTTTGAGACCGATATGTTTTCGAATGAATCAACTTCAAAGAGTTCTTTCAGCTTCTCATCACATATGATTCTCCTCTTGTCAGAAGGATCCTAAGTTATGCAGAAAGTAGTAAAGAAGCAATAAGTTTTTATCCACAAGAAAGAAAGGAAGCAGTAAGTAAAAAAAAACAGTGTAGAGAGCACACCTGAAGATCATTCTGTTTTATGTACTTCCACAATCTCTTTACCACATCTGCCCTCGACAGCGAGCTTTCTCCATTACCCAAGAACTTGACAAGAGCATCTGAAAGTGGAAGGGGAGCAAGAAGACCACAACCTTCGATCTTCTGCTTTTTATTTTTCTCGTTTAGTTCGTCACTCTCTGTATCTGACCGAATGTTAATGCTTTGTTTATACCTTGATGATAAATGGGACAAAATGAAATTCATTTAGCTTTCTTACCTTCGTCTGATTCCGTATTTTGCTTTTCAGTTTTTGGAGAGTTAGAGCAAACTGATTCTCCTAAACCAGAGATAAACAACAATTAGTATACGGTTAAAAAGCCTTAACTGGGAGAAGATTGCTCCAAAATTTAAGAACTTTTCAGTCGTTGAATACCTGCATTATCCTCTAATGGCCATATGTGCTTGGTTAGAAGTTTATTCATTTGAAACATATTGATGGACTCGAAAGAGAACAGAGATTGTAATGATTCATCGCATATTATTCTGCGTCCATCATTCGGATCTTGCAATTTGTTCTCCTTTATGTATCTCCAAAGCATTTTCACAACCTGAAACCATTCACCAGACAAAATGTCAAAACAAGGGAATTGGTTAAGAAACTTAGATAAGTAGCTCTGAAATTTAGGCTCAGAGCTCGAGTTACAGAACGAAGAGAAGCTAATTACCTCTGTCCTGGCTAATTCTGTCACCCCAGTAAAAGCCTGAAGCTCTGGCGAGAGGCTGCAAACTTTAGTAAAGCCGCCTCCTCCTCCTTTTCTTTTGGGCTTTTCCACCGACTTGGCTGGCCTATTTGAAAGAGCAAACTTAGTTAATGGTCATCAAGGTGGCGATATAACTAGCTAGACAATACAAGAATTGAGAGAGAAAGAGAAAACTAACTAACTTTTTTCTCTTGCGTTTCCTCAAACTCCTAGCTTCCTCTTCACTTTCTTCTGCAGTACTCTCTTCCACTTCTTCGTTTTCTTCCCCATTCTTGACTCTTTTCACTGATG